GCCTGGGCGAAACAGTGAGACTCTGCCTCAAAAAAATAAAATAAAATAAAATAAAAATGTATTGTTTATTAAAACGCAGAACAACAATAAAGCTGGCTGAAGATCAAAATAATCTGGTGGTCCAAGAGGTTACCTGCCTCCCCTGCAGGCTCTGCCTGTGGCCTAGATAAACCAGCTTTTTGCCTTCAGTGGTGGGCAGACACCAATGTCATTTGCTATTTCCACAATCCTCAATCGGAATGTCTACTGGAGACAGGTCTTAACACAAGTAGAGGGAAAAGCTGGTACAAATATACCTGTAATAAAACTGACTTAAAGAGCAAGTTATTCCCCTTCTTGGGAATAAAGACAACTTCTCTTGGTGGGAGATAAATTTTTGTTAAAGTTGTTATCTAAAAGTTATTAAAAATGTCCCAGACCAGAAAAAAAGTAAACAGAAATATGGTTTGTAAGATGCAAGTCAAACTTGGAAGTGGTATTGGTGGGGGGTGGGGCAGTGACTGGAGTGTCACTGAGCCCAGGAGAGGTCACGGGAAGGCAAGTTCTCATATCCTGCTTAGGAACGAGATGTTGAGATGAGCAGAAGTAATCGACCATGGTGATTCTGGGAAAACATAAAAAGCAAAATTGTTAAAAAACAAAGCGAAAGAACTAAAACTGAAGGTGTGATTTCAGATTCATGGTGACTGCTTCATGGAAATCATGCTCTCGTCACTTGTTCAAGGTCAGTAGAAATAACGGCGTCTAAGCAACTCTACTACTTCTCACATGGAGGTAAGTGAACCACCACAAGGGCAGAAAAGTGTTCATAAATCACTATGTTAGGACAATGAAACAATTAGAATCAGACTTTTCCTTACTAATTACAATGTTTTAAGTAGATTAATTTCCCATGAAAATTCAAAATTATATTCACAGCCCACTGAAGAAAATACCTTGCAATACCTGGAGATAATTTGTCCAGCGCTTAGCCCTAATGATAGCTCATGTTTACTAAGTGTTTACTGTACCACCAGGTACTGTGTTACATGCTGTGCATTTATTCTTCAGGACCCTATGAGGTAAGTGTAATTTGGTAGATAAAGGACTGTAACTTAGTGAGAGGGGCCAAGATTCAACTCATGTTTCTAACAAATAAGCTGTCTCTAGAGCAGCAGTTAACTAAATTTTGGCTCTCACAGACCACTTCCCTTAAAGTCAATCCATTGACTCATTAAAATAAGTCTCACCTCAGATTATACTTAAAGGCATTCAACTGGAAACCAGAAAATGTTAACATTAAGTATTACAGTACTGTGATAACGTTTGTGTTACAATGAAAGTCTAATGAATCTTAAAACACATGGAGAAAGGTACTCAATTTTGTAGACTTGGAATACTATCTGGAAAAAACACAAAACAATAGCAGCACATTCTGGTTTCTAGAATTTATTGAAACTAATATGTGTAGTATATTGTTAGAAACCATTCTATTAACCACATTATTTCTTAATTTGCAAGGAAAAAAACAGGCTTATTGTAAAGAACTCAGAAAACTGGCACGGAGTATAAAGTCAGAAGTGATTCCTATTAATTAACCTTGTGGGATATTTCCTTCAAGTCGAACAGTTCAGAATCTTCAGTTGTCAATAATAACCCTAAATAAATTAACGCAAAATTTCTAAGCAAATTCTAAATAAAATGCTCAGTTTCATTTGTATTTTACCTTATCTAATTCTAGGAAAACATTTAAACACATGGATGATATTGTTTCCTAATCATAATTTCCTCCCAAAAGATTTACCACATATTGTAAATCATTTACCACATAATGTATGTTTTTAAATATTCCATTAGACCCTCCATTAACGCAGAGGATGCCTATCATAAAAAAAAATGCAGTCTTAACCACAACAATCCAATCTTGATTTATAATACTTAAGAATCATTACAGTTGAGTTCGAAAGTCAGCGGTTCTGTGTTCTATTTCACGCTGTTAAAGAACAGTCTGGTTAAGATGAAGAGCCTAGGCTCTGAAGCCAGATTACTGGAGTTCAAACCCTAGCTCAGCCATTCAACTACTTGTGTGATAACACTTTGTTCTAGTTACAAGAGTAACATCTACTTTTAAGTTTCTCAAGTTTTAGGCAGGATCCATTCATTAACTTGCTCTGTGACTTAACTACATGGCTTAGGTTAGCCAGGAGATATACCTTAAAATCTGCTTGCTTTGTTCACATCTCAAGAGAGTTAATAAAAAAAATAATGCTAATGAAGTACTTCAAACTCTTAAGTGAAAGGACAAAATACCAAAGCAATAGGATTTCCATTTTTAATTATACACAAGTCTTAATGTTATCATATATATTTACTCATAACCAAATAACTAATGCAAATTTAATAATAACTAGGGCAATGCCTAACCACGTAATGAGTTGTGAGACACACATATGACTATCAGGAATGCAAGAGTAATTGATATAATTGTATCACCACAAGATGGAGTAAGAGGTCTCAAAAACACACACATACTCACTTTCCTGTCAAAAGTCTACAGATAAGACATTCCGTTCTGCCATCTCATGGTGCTATAATTAGATATTATTCTGTTGGATCAGCCTCCTATGCAAGAATAAAATAAAAATAATAAGCAGTTTCATAAAAGCCAAGAAATTAGTTGAAGGAAAACATTAAGCACACAAAGGAAAGTGGTGACACTACTTTCTAAAATGGCAAAAAGCATGACAGAATGCCAGAGTGGAGTTCCAAACTAACGTAAGTTTAAAAAATAAAATCTAGCCAGGCACAGTGGCTCACGCCTGTAATCCCAGCACTTTGGGAGGCCGAGGTGGGTGGATCACCTGGGGTCGGGAGTTTGAGACCACCCTGACCAACATGGAGAAACCCCATCTCTATTAAAAATACGAAATTAGCCAGGCATGGTGGCACATGCCTGTAATCCCAGCTACTCAGGAGGCTGAGGCAGGATAATCGCTTGAACCCGGGAGACAGAGGTTACAGTGAGCCAAGATCATGCCATTGCACTCCAGCCTAGGCGACAAGAGCAAAACTCTGTCTCAAAAAAATAAAAACAAAAAATATATGTATTTTAAAACTAAAATAATACCACTTTAAAAACATAACTCTCTTCCTAATTCCTTTAGTGTAGAGAATGTCAAAGACAGCTTCAACTAGTCTCTTAAAAGGAGGACAAGGAGTTTGAATAATATTTTTAGCATTGCCTTTTTTATGACATTGAAAATTGTGCAAAATCATAAAAAAGGAAGCTCTAAGTTCTGTAGGGACTTTCATAAATTTTGGGTAGGACCATTTAGATTTATAGTCAATGATTGTCTTTTCATTAAATAGTAGTGCTTTTATTTGTTTGAGCTTTACATTCAGAATTTCTTTAAGGGGTATAGTTTTTAAAAATTTTACCCAAAAAAGTACATGCCATGTCAAACATACATAAGTAAAATTAGAAAGCAAAGGGTTAATATTCTTGATAAGTAATAATGCTCCATAAATTTATCAGAAAGAGATAATCACTCCAAAAGGAAAACATAAGGGGTATTTTCAAGCAATCTACAAACAATATGGTTAATAAGCAATAAAAATTATCACTTATTAGTGACCTGATTAAAATGGTGACATTAATAATGAGATTTAGTGGCCAGGCGCAGTGGCTCACGCCTCTAATCCCAGCACTTTGGGAAGACAAGGTGAATCACCTGAGGTCAGGAGTTCGAGACCAGCCTAGCCAACATGGTGAAACCCCGTCTCTACTGAAAACACAAAATTAGCTGGGCATAGTGGTGCATTCCATGCAGCTATTCGGGAGGCTGAGGCAGGAGAATCGCTTGGATCTGGAAGGCAGAAGTTGCAGTGAGCCAAGATCGCGTCATTGCACTCCAGCCCGGGCAACAAGAGCAAAGCTCCGTCTCAAAAAAAAAAAAAAGAGAGAGAGAGATTTAAATGACTTTTTGCTTATCAGTCTAAAGAAAAAGATTTATCATAATTGGTGTTGATAAGGATGTAGGGAAGCAGATGTCGTTGATGAAAGCGTAAACTGTGCAGCCTTCCTAGAGGGTCTTAAATGGAGACATGTTTTTACTTAGAATTCCAACTTCTAGGAGTTCTTGACAGTAACTCTTTTATACACCAAGATTTATCTGTAAGGATACTATTCATTGTTGTTTGTTTTTCTTTTACTTTTTTTTTGTTTTTTTGAGATGGAGTCTCACTCTTTTGCCCAGGCTGGAGTGTAATAATGGTGTGGACTCGGTTCACTGCAACCTCTGCCTCTTGGGTTCAAGTGATTCTCCTGTCTCAGCCTCCCGAGTAGCTGCTATTACAGACATGCGCCACCACGCCAGGCTAGTTTTTTGTATTTTTAGTAGAGATGGGGTTTCATCATGTTGGCTGGGCTGGTCTCGCACTCCTGACCTCAAGTGATCCACCCGCCTCAGTCTCCCAAAGTGCTGGGATTACAGGCGTGAGCCACCATGCCCGGCCTATTAATTGTTGTTTGTAACAGCCAAAAGCTAGCCATAGTCAAAGTTCAACAGTCAGCAGTTAGCTAAGTAAACTCTGGTATATTCACATGCTGGAATACTATGTAACTAGTAAAAGCCATGAAATAGAAATATTAATGACATCACTGGCCAGGCACAGTGGCTCATGCCTGTAATTCAAGCACTTTAGGAGGCCGAGGAAGGTGGATCACCTGAGACCAGGAGTTCAAGATCAGCCTGGTCAACATGGTAAAACCCTGCCTCTACAATTAAAAAAAAAAGTAATGAGAAATATTAATGACATCGGAAAACGTTCAACTCCATTAAGTGAAAAAAGCAGGTTATAACATTATATATAGCCTGATACCAATTTTGGTTTTTCTTCTTTTTATAACAAGTACTTTATTTTCTTCTTTGTGCTTTTCTAAATTTCCCAATGTACATGTATTACTTTTATAATAAAAATATGATAAAACTACTAATTAAAACAAACCACAAAACTCTTGATTATTGTATTTTCATTTATAATACACAATTTTCCAATCAAATTTACACTTGTATATTCAGTTGAGTAGAAATATCTGGTTAAATACAGGTTTCAGATGTGTGTGTTCAACACAAAAAGGACACTGAGAAAAATTTATAGATCATTTCAAGAGACCATTTAAAGCTAACAAGCATGGTTTGGAAATTTCTCACTGAAAAGCTGGAACTACATATCCCATTTAAGAAAAGACTTGAAGATCTATTATTCTAACCCATTGCTTGTTTTGCAGTCTCTTTACAATATATCTAAATAAATTTATTTTCTGAATATTCAAATTTGAGTATTTCAGCAATTTAAAGCATCAAAATGACCCTCCAAGCAGTAAATATTATAAAATTGCCAATTATTACTTATGAGAAATAACTTACTGAAAACCTATTTACAAATTAACAGCCCATCCATCCAAAGATTATACGCATTTCAATATTATAATTTATAAGAACAAGACATCCAATCTGCTCAAAAAGAAAATACAAATTAATCTAGCATAATGAAACCACTTGCTTTTGCCAATACAACAAAATATCTGTAAATTATGTAGTGCTCAATAAAAGTGGATGTAAGTTTATAATTGAAACTTCATTCACAAAAATTAATGGTCTTTTACCAGCAAAACTGAATATTACAGCTTTTCAACTATATTCTAAATAAAAATAATTCAAAATTCAAAAAATTCAGAATAAGTGCTTTATTTTTTTAATCTCACAAAAACTGAAACTATCATTTACATCAGTTGTAATAGCAATAAAAATTAGAAATCAATTTGCTATAACTCTTGAAAACATTTATAAAGACAAAACAAAATTAAACAAAAATAAAAAGGTAAAACTAAGTATTCATTTTAAATTAAAGATAATCTGACTCCTTATGACCTACCCACTTGCAGATGTATAAATAGCAGATGCATTCAAAACAGTGCAAGATTTAATTAGTTCAGGACAATATTCCAACCAACCCCAATGTAGGTTTTAAATTACTTGTGCACGTTTATATAGAATCATAAAAATAAACCTCTAATATGTAATCAGCTTATGCCAATTCAGAAAACTCCGCACCAATACAACAACTGTGGAAATCATGAGATATGACTGGGGGGAGAAAAGCAAAACCTAGCATCAAAAGTGCATATACTCACTGTAACTATAATCTTGCTATATATTCCTACTTTTGTTTAAAAAAAAAGTTTAAACTATATGTCTCAAAGAAATACTAAATGTATAATTTCATATTCTTTTTTGAATTTAAAAAATATATACGTAATCCTCCTTTGTTTTTGGTAAGTTCAAATATGAATTGACAGTGGGGTAATTGGATTGTGGATTCTTTAAGAAAGCTCTATAGAATAGAAGAATACAACATACTATATCTTCTTTAAGAAGTATGAGCTGAAATGTTAGGCATTCCTTGTATTGTTTTTTAAATATATTTAAGGAATGCTGTTTTTGTAAAACCATGGCTTTGAAAGAGAAATCTGAGATCAAAATACATTACTAGAGGATCTCTATAAAAGGTCACCAAGACTATCCTTGTTTGTGAAATCAGGGAAAACATTTTTAGAATTTATCTTGTTAGAAAAAATGCTACCACTTTTCTTTCTTTTTCTTCTTTCTGATTATCTCAATTAAACATCAGAAGATTTTCCCTAAATAAATACTGATGTAAACGTTGACTTCAAGGACAAAGAACTTTCGTAAGAGTCTATTTCTCAGGCATTTCACCATTTCTTGAGACCACAGGCCACGGGCAGCACTGTTTAATGTGAATTGTCACTGGACTCCGGTGAAGTATTCCTTCTGGGATCGTTTATTGGGACCTGAAGCTGACTGGTAGATGTAGGTTTAGCAGCATTTGGTGGCTTTGTAGAGGAATTAGGTGGAAGTCTATGACGATTACTCTCCTCACCAGAAGTAGATGAATGTCTTTTTCTTCCAAATTCCTCACTAATAGGGGGCTGCAAATGATGAAAGACAACACCGTTGACAATTTTACTGTTTTTCCTCCCTTCAGAACCTAAGACTAGACCTTTCCCCCCAAAAAAGTAAGTTAAATGGACACTTCAGTAGATTTTTTTTTTTGACGGAGTCTCGCTCTGTCGCCCAGGCTGGAGTGCGGTGGCGCGATCTCCGCTCACTGCAACCTCCGCCTCCCGGGTTCACACCGTGCACCCGCCTCTTGGATTTCATTAGTATAACAAAAACTTAACAGCAACTTAAGATACTAAACTTAAATTTCCTTCCTAACTAAATCAGCCTACTAGTATTTGCTCATTCTTTTACTCAACATACGTTTGTGGTTTTTGTTTTTGTTTTGTTTTGTTTTTTGAGACCTAGTCTCACTCTGTAGCCCGAGTGCTTTTTTGTTTGTTTGTTTTGTGTCTTTTTTTTTTTTTTTTTTTTTGAGACGGAGTCTCACTCTGTAGCCTAAGCTGATGTGCAGTGGCGTGATCTCGGCTCACTGCAACCTTCGCCTTTGGGGCTCAAGCGATTCTCCTGCCTCAGCCTCCCAGGTAGCTGGGACTAGAGGCGCCCGCCACCACACCCGGTTAATTTTTTTGTATTTTTAGTAGAGACAGGGTTTCACCATGTTGCCCTGGGTGATCTCAAACTCCTGAGCTCAGGTGATCCACCCGCCTCGGCCTCCCAAAGTGCTGGGATTACAGGCGTGAGCCACCATGCCCGGCCTCAACATGTGTTTATTAAGCTTCTCTCATGTTTTAGGCTTGAGCTATCTGATAGGGCACAAGTATAAGGCTGGGTTCCTTGCCTCCAAGAAAATGTTTCAGCGAGGCAATTTGCCTTCTTTATTCTATTTCGTCAGCTGTAAAAGATTTGTATCTCCAGTCTCTTTCTCAATCCTAAACTCCTATTCCAGGCTTGCTTAAGTGAAAATGTTTAACAGATAAATGAAAGCAGTAGAGGAATAAAAAAGATGCCAAGTTAAATTATCGTTAGCAAGTTTGAAGGTTTATCTAGAATTCCTATGATAAGGAGACTGGAGAGTATTATTGATGGTACCAAATTTAAACATCTTCAAACGTTTAAGTACCCAGTGAAAAGGCATCCTGCATTCAAAAAAAGTCAGTTTTTTAGGCCTTTCCAGTTACCAAGATTTGGGAGCCCAGAACTGGACACCAATGAAATAGTATTTTTATGTGGAGATAAATTAAGATAGTAACCTCCTTATCCAATCCTCCGTTGTACTTAAAGGAGGAGGCCTGAATTCTTGGCTTATGTTCAGATGGGACAAGAGTCTCAAATATAGAGCAAGGATGTCTTTGTGATAGAACTGGTTAGACCACTCTAGAAAAATAGCTCTTAATTCAAGAGACAGGCACTTTTATTAACCCTATCCCTGGGTCATCAAGTCCATTTACACAAAACTGCAAGACAAATTACAACACAAAGCAGAGATGATGAACCTAGCCTTCCTTTGACTTCTTTTCTAAATTTAAAATTTTTCTTCTTCCTCTTTTTTTTTTTTTTTTTTAGACAGAGTCTCATTCTGTTGCCTAGGTTGGAGTGCAGTGGCACAATCTCGGCTCACTGCAACCTCCGCCTCCCAGGTTCAAGCAATTCTTGTGCCTCAGCCTCCCGAGTAGCAGGGATTACACACGTGCACCATCACACCCAGTTAATTTTTGTATTTTTAGTAGAGACAGGGTTTTGCCATGTTGACCAGGCTGGTCTTGAACTACTGGCATCAGGTGATCCACCCGCCTCAGCCTCCCAAAGTGCTGGAATTACAGGTGTGAGTTACCATGCCCAGCCTTTCTCCTTAATTTTTTATTTATCTTCTTCCTCCTTTTCCTTTATCTTCTTAGATTCTTGACATTTTTTGATGCTTCTCTTTTCCTTTTGAAATCAAATTGATAAAGCCTATATAAGTTCAACCTTCAACCAAAGGTGATGAGAAGAACCCATGAGAGTGGACATCGTCATAAGATGGCAGCAAAAGGACCTTGTCTAGCTGACTCAACTAAAAGACACCACTCTTGTGCTTGCACACATGCACACAACATTCTCTCCTTAATTTTATTATGCAGGTACCCTAAATCCATATCAGCACATGTTACAGAAAGTATATGGATAAAAGATCATTAAAAAGTTTTCACATTGCTAGTGACAAATTAGCATATCAGATAAAAATTAATAAATCTAGAAAATGTTTAATTATAGAAGCATATGAAAATTAAATTGAATTAACAATTGCACTGTGGTTATGCAAGATGTTAACATTTGGGAAATCTGAGTGAACAGAGTATATAGGAATTCTCTGAACTATTTTTGTATCTATTTCAAAGTTTAATTTTAAAACTAAAAAGTTAAAAAATAAAAATTACAAAATTAAAGTTTAAAAAGTCACTGAGAAGAGATTGAAATATATGGAGAATAAAAAGAATAGAGGAAACGACTTAAAACTTACATCAACACGGAAGTCTTCTAACCTCTTAAAACTACAGAGGTATTCCTGAAGTTTTGGGTCAATAGACTGTGTCGTAGATTGTGAATATTTCAAATAAGCCCAAAACTTTTCTAGTCCATACAGCTGACCTAATAACGAAGAAGAATATACATTATAAATTATATAAAATTTTTTAAATGATTCACATTAAATATAATCCTATCAGCAATAAACAATTTATCTTCCAATATATGCTTACTGTAGATCTTGAGAATAAGACATGTAATGAATTAAGCAATAATGGAGCTAATATTTATTGAGCATTTGCTATGTAACAAGTATTAAGTGCTTTATTTTGCATCAAACTAATTTGACCCATATACAACCCTAAAGATGGATGTTCTCATATATGTTACAGATGAGAAAACTGAGGATAGCAAGGATAGGCAATTTACCCACCGTCACAAAGATTCTAAATAGTGGAAAGGGAATTTGGACCTAGCAATCTGGCCCAGAGCCTGCACTCTTAACCACTGTGCTATGTCTGCCTTTCCAAGCTTACCTGCTGATGTTGCATAGAATTTTCATGTAGTGAAACATCAGTGAGTAGCCATGTTTGTCAAAGGGATAATGACAAAATATACCTCCATAAAAGAAAGACTTGAGAGTAGTTACTTTCCAACACCTCCCAGGAAGGGCCTTCTTACTACCTGGTGCCCCATCCTTCATCAAGAAACATAATAATAGCATGAAGATCTTAAATGGTTTGCCTTGAAGAAAAAAACTATGAATTCCCTCCCTATTTACTGACAGACTCAGGTTTACAATTTCCAATTAGAGTATAAATTTTCTGATGTTATTGTTACCAGATTCGTAGTCTTTTTTGGTTTCTTCTTGGAAATCCTGAAAAATTTCTTGCCTGAATTTTTTTTCCAGTCCATAACTATAAAACCTGAACAGACATTCTAACCCATACCTATAAAGAGAAAATAAAAGGTTTATAATAAAATACAATCTCTCTATAGTAGTAACATCAATATAAGCAAACATGGCACAGGTAATCCTAAATGAAAAATAACATCTTAGCATTCAGATTTTTTAATTTTTTTGAGACTGAGTCTCACTCTTACTGTCCAGGTTGGAGTACAATGGTGCGACCTCAGCTCACTGCAACCTCTGCCTCCCTGGTTCAAGCTATTCTCCTGCCTCAGCCTCCTGAGTAGCTGGGATTACAGGTGACCACCACCGTGCCCAGCTAATTTTTTGTATTTTTAGTAGAAAAGGGGTTTTACCATGTTGGCCAGGCTGGTCTCAAACTCCTGACCTCAGGTGATCCATCCGCCTCAGCCTCCCAAAGTGCTGGGATTACAGGTGTGAGTCACTGCGCCCAGCCAGTATGCAGATTTTTAACTGAACTGGTAATTAGTAATCTATAGCTGGCTTTGCTATTTTTGTTGACTCAGCCATAGCACATCATGAAGGTATACAGAGAACCTGCTGCATGAGAGGCAGCCCTTGGACAGTTCAGTATGACCTCTTTAGATGCACACAGTATCTCTCCCTGGTGTTTCTGAAGAACTGGCCAAAAGATTTAGTGATAAATTGGGGATGTGTCAGATTTTCCCCAAACCAAAATGTATAATGGTGTGTTTGTACACAGTATTAAATAAATACTCTTGAATGTAAGCTTTACTCTAGGAAGATAAAGACCATAGAGCTGTTCCCTAGATCCTAGGTGTGGTTGTCCCATTCAACTATAATGGTACAAACATAATTAAATGGTTAAGAGAGCCTCCCTGCTTTCATTATAAAGTACAATTAATAGTAGATACATTGCTAATAGAGCTAAAATCACTACAACCTTCAACCACAGGTGATGAGCAGAACCCATGGAAGTGAAACAATGCTGTAAGATGGCAACAAAAAGACCTTGTCTAGCTGACTCCACTAAAAGATACCACAATTATAACACTCCTAAGTTAGAATCCTAAGTCTTTCTGGGTACCTCAGCAGAAAGGCTTCAACCTCTCCATTCTGCTAACATAATGTTAACAGGCTGTCAGTCACAGGAAGCAGGGTGTGTGATTGTGTGTCTCTTTTGTAACCAGCTTATTTACAAGACGAAGAGTGATGGTCTGGCAAGCCAACAAGAGAAATGCAGGACTGCCAACAACACACTTAAACACTAACCTGAGCCCTTGGCTCCCATAGCCTTAAGTGATGCTACTGGTTGAGCTTGCATGACTGAAGTCTAAGGAGATCAAAGACTAAAGGAGCCACAGTTCACAATGACAAACTTGCTTTGATGTTCCTCTTACGGGATCATACTATACCGACATCAGTTGTTCTCAGTCTTAGCTACATATTATAATCATCTGGGGAGCTTTTAAAAAATACTGATGATGCCCAGGCTCTGCTCCAAACCGATGGAATCAGGATCTTTTTTTTTTAATTTTTAAAATTTTTGTGGGTACACAGTGGGTGCATATATTTATGGGGCACATGACATGTTTTGATACAGGCATGCAATGTGAGATAAGCCTGTCATGGGGAATGGAGTATCCACCCCATCAAGTATTTATCCTTTGAGTTACAAACAATTCAATTACACTCTTTAAGCCACTTTATTTATTCATTTTTTAAATTTTATTTATTTATTTATTCTTTTGAGACACAGTTTTGCTCTTGTTGCCCACGCTGGAGTGCAGTGGTGCAATCTCGGCTCACTGCAACCTCCACCTCCTGGGTTCAAGCAATTCTCCTGCCTCAGCCTCCCGAGTAGCTGGGATTACAGGGGCCTGCCACAATGTCTAGCTAATTTTTGATTTTTAGTAGAAACAGGGTTTCACCATGTTGGCCAGGCTGGTCTTCAACTCCTGATGTCACGTGATCCACCCACCTCGGCCTCCCAAAGTGCTGGGATTACAAGCATGAGCCACCATGCCCGGCTTCTTTCAGCCATTTTAAAATGCACAATTAAGCTACCACTGACTATAGTCACCCTATTATGCTATCAAAGAGTAGATCTTATTCATTCTTTCCAATCATTTTTATTTTTTGTACCCAAAATCAGAATCTTTGAGGTGAAGCCTAGATATCTCTCTTTATTTCTGGAGAAGTAAGTTTTTGGTTTTTATCAAGTAAATCATATTTCAGAGGAATACAGAAATTCTTAGATTATTGATAAAGGATTAATACTCAATACAACATTTATATTGAATAGGCAATATTTGGATTTTTACTCTTATTTCTTAGCAAACTATTCCAAAGACCAAAAGTATGACATTAATAACACAACCCAAACATGCAGCATAACTGCTGGAGTGAAGGACCGAGGCAAATGATTAGCGCTCTCAGTTGTCATTTACTCATTTACCACTTACTTCAAGACAGCTCAGAGGAGTAGAAGACCTAGAGGCTTAGAACCAGAAGGAACTATATTTGAATCATGGGCTTGTAATTATATCACTGAAAATTGAGTCAATTAGATCCTATTTTTCAAAAATAGATATTTGTAAACCTTCTAGACCAGAGCTAGCACATTGAAGACATGTAAGAAATGTTAGCTCTCCCCCTCCTTCCTGAAATCACATTATTACTACTTTCAACCAATGGACAGAATTAGTAACAATTCCCTAATAACAATAATCATCTGGCCAGCCACCGTGGCTCATGCCTGTAATCCTAGCACTTTGGGAGGCCGAGGTGGGTGGATCACTTGAGGTCAGGTGTTCAAGACCAGCCTGGCCAATATGGTAAAACCCCATTTCTACTGAAAATACAAACATTAGCCTGGTGGGGTGGTGGGCACCTGTGATCCCAGCTACTTGGGAGGCTGAGGCAGAAGAATCGCCTGAACCCAGGAGGCAGAGGTTGCAGTGAGCCGAGGTGGTGACGCTGCACTCCAGCCTAGGCAACAGTGCGACTTTGTCTCAAAAAAAGAAAAGAAAAGGAAAGGAAAGAAAAGAAGGAAAGAAAGAAAGAAAAAAGAAAAGAAAGGAAAAGAGAGAGGGAGGGAGGGAAGGAGACAGGAGAGAAAGAAAGAGAGAAAGAGAAAGAAAGGAAGGAAAGGAGAGGAGAGGAGAGGAGGAAGGGAAGGAGGGAGGGAGGGAATCATCTATCAAGCACTTACTATACATAAGTTAATGTGTTAAGCCCTTTAAATGCTTAGTGTAACCTTCACAATAACCCTGTGAGAGAGTATGTATCATAATTTAATCTTTTTTTTTTTGTTGAGATAGGGTCTTGCTCTGTCACCCAGACTCAAGTGCAGTAGCGTAACCTCCGCTCACTGCAATCTCCTCCTCCCAGGCTCAAGCAGTTCTCATGTTTCAGCCTCCCAAGTAGCTATAAGCGCAGGCCACCACGCCAATCTAATTTTTCTATTTTTAGAAGAGATGAGGTTTTGCCATGTTGGCCAGGCTAGTCTCAAACTCCTGGCCTCAGTGATCTGCCTGCCTCGGCCTCCCAAAGTGCAAGGATTACAGGTGTGAGCCACCATGCCTGGCTTAACCTACTTTTTATAAAGAACATAAAGCCTGGTGGGATTACAATCTGTCACCTGTAAATTAATGGCTGGGACTCAAATATGGTCCTGATTTCAAGGACTTCAGGTGCTTAACCACTACTTCCTAAGAAGTAGCTAATACAGTCGAGTGGTAAATACTGCAGAAACAGAACCAAAGGTAGGAAACTATGTTACAAAGGTATTAGAAACATACGCAGAGTTATGTGTATAGAAACACAGAAGAAGAACTCCCAACCTAGACTTGGGTGGAAATGGAATCAGAGAAGTTATTAGAAAGTCTTAAGGAACAAACAGAAATTGCATAAATAGCAAAATATGCTGAGATCAATTAAAACAATGGCTTTCAAACTTTTCTGACTAGGTCCAATACTATAAAAAATATTTTACCTTATAACTAAATCAACATGTACATCTCTATATGTGTGTACATAAAAATATGTATGTTTTACAAAACAGTTCTTAAATTTGTATGTATGTGGGTATGCATTAAATTTGGATGTATGAATTACTATGCTCAGTGCAGTCTGGTATTTTCTACTGCATTTTTTAAAGCACGTTAGAACCACTAAATTGATTTTATGATTGACGAATAGGTAGCAAACCACAGTTTGAAAAAGAACAATGAGATCAGGAATGGCAAATTTTGCCTTTTATGTCAACTCTGGTAAACTGGCAGTAGCTATTTAAAGTCATAAGGAAGAGTATAAATCTGAAAAGTGTGGTAAGAAAGAACATAAAACATAACAGGGATTGATTAGAGATATCAGTAATAGAGGAAAAAGAGCTAAACATGCCATGGATCTGCTGTTCCTGATATAGATAACAGATAAAAATTAAACGGGCTTTGTTTTTACATAAGTCAACACAAAGAAATTTTTGTGTTTTTAATCAGAAAAATTTATTTGTAGCACCTTGCATTCTTCTCAAAGATCACAATATCTGATAAACAATATATTCTTATTTGAGATTTATAAGAGGAATCCATTTTCAGAACTTAAAGAAGGGTAAATTTAGGTAAATATGATTGAATGAAAAATCATCTTTTTCCCTTCTCTCCATGTCTCGTTCCTTTCTCCTTTTGCCCATGAATAAATAGCCTTCTTGAGTCCACGCCATGTTCCTTCTTACCCTCTTGGTCTGCCCTCACTCAGCCCTACAGGCACTCTCAGGACTTTCCGTGAACATTTCTGAAGAAAGCAAGGTCTAAGCTGGGATAAAAAGAATAGGATTTAGAAAAGCACAGGGAGGATGAAGAGAAGTAGAAGCAAAGTTAAGAACATGCACAGATGTCCAGAGGCTAGAGAGCTTGGTTCATTTGAAGAATATGTATCAGTACCACTGTTGCCCAGAGTACTAGAGGACTAGTGGGAAAAAAATTAGACAAGGTGAGTCAAGGGACGTATTGTGAGAGGCCTTGCTTTTTTTTTTCTTAAAGAATCTTAAGAACTGCGTTGGCTCTAAGTATATATCAATTGGGGTATGTATCTGTACATGCAAAGGAAGTCTGTAATGGTGGCAGCATGGGAGAGAAAAGTTTTGTAATTTCATTCAGCCCTTGTGCCAGCCTCTAAGATGGTTCCTAATGATCCCATCTCTTGGTATTAACAACCTTGTGTAGTACTCTCCCATACTGTGCCAGGCCTGGTCTGTATTGACAATACAACATGGCAGAAATAATGGTATGCCACTTCCATAAAATACTGAGGCTTCCATTTTGGAAGCTCTACTCACTCAGGGTAAAACCATATTGTAAAATGCCCTAGGGAAGGTCAATGTGGCAAGGAACTGAAGCCTCCTGCCAACAGCCATGTGAATGAACTTGAAAAAGAACCTCCAGCCCAGGCCAAGTCTTCAGATACTGCAGCTGCCTTCAACATCTTGGCTGCAAGCTCATGAGAAACCATGAGCCAGAACCACCCAGCTAAGCGGTTCCTGGAGTCTCAACTCTTTGAAGCTGTGAACTAGCAAATGTTTATTGTTTTAACCTATGGAGTTTTGGGGTAATTTGCAATGCAGAAATAGAAAACTAATACAGCCCTCCCTCTAGTTATATTGTGCTACTTTCACAGTTCAAAATCAGGTTACTTCAGTACTAGTTTTTAAAATTATTTTCTAAAAACTCCCTCTATTGGATCTACCTGGGGAAAGAAAAAAAGAAAAAGAAAAAATTAAAACTCCCTCAAAGTGTAAAAGAAAATATCTGACCTGTAATTTTCTTTTGCATCTTCCCAAGCAAGTTGTCTAAATTCCTCATACATTTTTTTATTGAAGTGATCTCTGAGGAAAAAGGACCAGAAACGAAAGAGGGTATTCATTTCTTGGGACTGACCAATTCCCAAGCGTTTTCTCTCTGAAAAAGTTAAATAAAATATTATTTTATTAAACATACTTTTTAAAGAGAAGAGAGCAGATGTTATATATAAAATGAAGAAAGCTCAACAGTATAATCCTCAAAGTGTATTTAGCTTTCTTCTAAATAGAGCGGGGATCTCCCACCTCCCGGCCACAGACTGGTACCCTATTGTGAACTGCACAAGTGAGGGATCTAGATTGGCCACTCCTTAAGAGAATCTAATACCTGATGATCTGAGGTGGAACAGTTTTATCTAAAACCATCCCCCACGGAAAGATTGTCTTCCATGAAACAGGTTGCTGATGCCAAAAGGATTGAGGACTGCTGAAATAGCTGACAAATGTTAAATCAATTTTCTGACTCACTGCTTAAATTATAAATATCTGCCAATAGCAACAAGAAGAGTAGATTAAATTTTTTTTTCTTTTTTTGAGACAGAGTCTCACTCTGTCGCCCAGGCTAGAGTGCAATGGCACGATTTCGGTTCACTGCAACCTCTGCCTCCCAGGTCTCAGCAATTCTCCTGCCTCAACCTCCTGAGTAGCTGGGATTACAGTCGCCTGCCATCACACCTGGCTAACTTTTGTATTTTTAGTAGAGAAGGAGTTTCACTATGTTGGCCAGGCCGGTCTCAAACTCCTGACCTCAAGTGATCTCCCTGCCTTGGTCTCCCAAAGTGCTGAGATTACAGGCATGAACTACCATGCTCGGCTGAGTTTGTTAATTTTTATTTCCTAATGTGTCTAAGTTATAAAGTACATAAATAAAGAATATATATAAACACATTTACTGAAAGTAAAACTATTTATAGTCTAACAATAAAAGAATATCTTAACTTGATATTAAAGGACAACATATTAAATTTTTTAAAATTATATTTTAATTTTAAATATCTTAAATAGATAGATAAAGGACAAGCATCTTACCGCTTAGGCATCTTCGACGATATTTGTGGTACACTTGTTGGGTAAAGCCATTTTCCTTCAAAAGTTCATGAGAAGGATGCTGGAACTTTGGGAATGAATGAGGAGTACATCCATAACTTCCTGCTAGTGGTGCGCCTTCTGAAGGTGAAGCATTTGAAGTGCTGTTTGAGGAAGTGGAAAAAAGCCTTCAAAATGAAAAATCAAGAACCAAGTATATGAACCAATTTGTACTATTTTTTTCATTATTGGGGGTCTAAGCAGTGGAAAAGACAGTAGTCTCTAAAACTCTCCTAAATTAATGA